TTCCCCGGGGGGGGGGGGAATTGCAGCAAAATGTAAATATGGGATGCAGTTTCTGGGTTTTAGTTTCAACCGCTGCACATATGTTACCGATTTGATTCTGTGAGATATCCCATTCCATATTTTCCGATTTAAGATATGAACCATAGTTTTCAAGTCTGGAGTTAAGTACTCCTAAGAAAAATTCTAATGACAGAGAAATGAAAATAATACCATACCTGGTGGTCTGGCCTGGAAGCATCAAAATAAACCTTCATCCTATGCTTCAACCTCTTCAATCTTTCTTCCTGCAAGATTTTAAACTAATCTATCATGGTTGGCAATCATAAATAACAGAGAGAGAGAGAGAGAGAGAGAGGAATGCTAAAGATCATAAAACTGGAAAAGCTATAGCAAACTTCTATGAAGTCTCAGTTTCACGATTTTATATAAACTAGATTAAAGGAATAGTTTAGGTAAAATTGAGCCCGGTCCCTACTCTACTTGTAAAATCAAAGGCATTATTATGACAACGCAAGAGTGGAAAACTCAGTAATTAGCATATATACAAATTCAGTTCATAATCTACACGAATGGCTGAAATGGGAAGACAATGTGTCCACTCCTTCTCTTTTCCTGCATTTGTTACTATATATAATTGATCTTGCTAAACTATTTGCAAGGTGAAAGCAACCCCTAGTAGAGACTAGAGACTTAAACAACGAGGTCTGGATTTGTCAAGAAGCATCACAGTGAGGGATGATTGATTAAATTAAAGAAATAAGCTTCTTTTAATCTGCACTTCCAAGTTTGCTGTAATAGACCAGTTTTGAGCATCACATAGATCAGCTCCATTTGGGCAATGTACGACCAAGGAAGGCATCTTTATTGGTAAGAATCGACAGAAACCAGATGTTAAGAGTTTAGTGTCGAATAAGATGAGAGAAATAACAGAAAAATGAACAAGAAAAACCAATAAAAATTATCATCTATTTTTCTTCAATACTGTATGGTTCTTGTTGTAAGTTCACTTGCCTGTTGAGGGGTCAAGTTAATGCAAATTCGTTCATATGCTCCCTTTCGCTTGAAGCAAACACAAGTGAGGCCCTTACCAATCCAAGTAGGCGGCCCACAAGTTGCGTCATCTGCATACAACCATCAATATCTTTGCTTCAATCATAAAGTATAATATTCACTTCAGCAACCAATGACAAGAAGCCCAATATTTTGCAGCCATAATTTTAGCCAAAATACAAGAACAAACAAGGTGGGGAGGATATTATTTTTTTGAAAAATGGCTTAGCAGAGCAAGACAATCTTTAGCCACCTGGTTTAACAGCCACGCTAAAGCATTTCATATCAGCGATATGGAAAAGCAATGCCCCCAATTCTAAAACCTGAAGTTTCAGGGGGTGATGAATCCCACATAACATAAGCTTATTACAGTATAATAACATGAAAACAAACATATTTTTGGCAAGGGGCATGGAGCAGTCCGCTGCATGACCAGTTCTGTCTCTGAAAAGGCAGTGGGGACCTCCGACAAGGCGGCTGGATACAAAGGTCACGTGCCGCACGACGGTGGTTCTGCTAGTGTACTCCAACATTATTATACGTAAATAATCAAAATTGTGTTTTGCTGCTATCATTTGCATCCGGGCCGATACATACGTGACAGCCTGACGCTGTGTCTTCCTTTACCCGGCGAGCATAAAGTAGAGAGAGTGTAGACACGCGCTGAGTTGGAAATCCCACCACATGGGGGGCATATGGTATTCATGAGACACTAGATCTATTGGGGTCGGAAGTGTCTTCCACGCGCTAATAACGGAAAGCAAGTCTAGACGGTCTGTCACCTCTCAAAGCACGAACTCATTGTTTGTTTGTCCATGCCAAGATCGCAAATAAAGACAAACCTTCAATCTCTTGCCACGTTTACCGTCCCGTCCATCCACAGAGAAATTAGTAAGCCATTCACAATTTCACATATATTTTTATCTATAGGAAATACAGTGCGTGAAAGGTTGTCAAAATCAAAGCTATTTAGTGCCAGCATTGTTATTCTTTAAAAAAAAATATTATTTTTAATATTAATATAAGTTATTTTTTAAAAGAAAATATTATTTCTAATATTAATATATCAAAATTATTAAAAAAATATTATTTTTAAATTAAAAAAAATAAATTTTAAAAAAGAAGCACCTAACTCGAGATAGTATAAGGCTTAAGAATTGTTTAGGGTTCTGATGCAACTTGAATTTTATAATTTTTTTATTTTTTATTTAAAATTAATTTTTATTTATATTTTTAGATTGTTTTGATGTATTAATTTTAAAAAATATTATTTTAATATATTAAAAAACATTTTAAAAAGTAATTGTTGACCCTCTTAAATATTATATATAACAAATGAAATAGCTGTCAAAACATGTTTTGATTAAGTTTTAATAGTAACTCGATCAACTCCTACTCTAGTTTTTAACTAGCCCGGATAGATCCCGGGTCAACCGGTCCAAAAAAAGTTTGATTTCCCCCGTATGAGGGAGTTTTTATTTATATAATGGTAGTTATTTGTTTCACGTGAAGGTCTATGTTAGACGACCCAAGTTGCTACGCCTAATACCAACAACCTTTTTGGGGATGTTGGGCCACCATTCCAATCAGTGAAAGTCACCGTGAAGTGTACCGGCTTTGATAACTGGCCCACTAGCCCATCCGATGCACCATAGTCCCCTTCTCCCTCACGCACTGACACAGTCCCCTTTTCCCTCACACACTGACTGTTTTAGTCACTAGTTTACCACTCTCAATCGTGCCGAATCCGGCGAGATCAAAGATTTATTTCATTCCACGCTTATCCCAAATTTGCTGTAACTATACACCGATTACATTTGCGTAATAATAATAATTTATTAAACTAAAAGTACAAATGTGTGCAAAAATTATTGTTAAAATCGTGTCTACCACTGGTATTTTGAAGTTTAATCGCCAACAATGTTCTCGTAAAGCACGGATCCTGTTACACAAACACTTGCTTATAGCTTTTTTATTGTTCAATAATTACAAATTCCTAAGAGCATGAACAATAAATCAAACATTGCAGCGTCAAAAATGACTGGACAGTATTATTTGACAGAGAAAAGAATCCAGAGTGTCTGGTTGCATAAAGAACGAACGGAGAATTAAACACACACACACGCAGAGCTCTGGAAGTATTATAGCAGATGATCACGTGAAGTTATAGAAACAGAGAGATTAATCAATGCAAGGGAAAGGAATCAAATGGTTTCTGGTTTTCTGCATGCAATCATGAAAATGGATTCTGCTTATATTGTAGGAGTCGCGGTGTCAGAGTGAAGAAAAGGGATAAAACCTGAAGAAGCAGAGCCGTGAGCACAAGATCGGTTGGTGGATGTAGAAGGAGAGAGAGTACGGATGGCCAAGCAGCTACCCCGGGCCCTAACAACACTCATCGCTAGATGATTAGAAGCCGCCAATTTACTGCATTTCAGGTTCTGAGAAGAGAGGAAAAGGGAAGAAAGCAGAAAGAGAGGCGGTTCCTTCTGGCCCCGATTTTGGTGATCGAGTGGGAGTGATAAAAGAGTGGCGAGCGACTCGAATCGAAGGCCAGGAATGAACCGGTTCTTGTCCCTTTTCGCATGTGGAGACGAATTTACGGATTGCCCCCAGCAGAGGCCGGCAGCTCGTCAATCCTCATTGTATCGACATTCATTGGCGAGAGGGATAAAATCATAAAAGAGTGTCAAATGTCAATGACCCAATTTTTAACTTCTTCTCTAGCAGCACAAAACAATTAGTGCATCGCTGACCGCAGCCTTTGACACGTCGATCGTAACAAGGGACTGAATTAATTAAGATACAAAAATTATAAGCGTCAACTATAAAATTTCAAAAATTACATGTATTATAAAAAAATGCTCCATAAAATTCTATTTTTTTTATCATTCACAATTACTCCCTACAGGATTTTTTTATTATTAATACTTTTAAATATCTTTTTTATGTATATAAATAATCAAATAATCATTCAACTATTCATCTAAGCTGTTTTTTAACTAATTTAGTTGTTAGGAATAAGTAAAGCTAATGTTGATTTTATAAATAAAAAGACTAAAATATATAGCACGACATTCTTCATCTTCATCAATCTTTTTAGCAATATCATTGATTTTTTTTAGCTTTAAAAATTCTTCCTAGTATCTCAGGTAAAAAATGTAAGTTTATCAAGTGCTGCAAGCTTAATAATGGAGAAGTCAAATGAATAAAATTTAGCAATACAAATTCAATTTTTGCTTGAAAAGACTCCCTTGAATTCAAAAATACTATGCAAAAAAATAACTCTGTGTTAATTTGTAGCTCTAGATCATAAAATTCAAGCGATAAAATTTAAATTTGAAACTTTCTTAAGTATAAGCAACTTTTTTTCATTTTATTTCAGAAAAAAATATATTTGAGAGTGCACAGGAATGGGATCACGGGATGTTGGAGGCGTGGGTTAATGCCCCCGACCCCACCATTCAGGAGTAGAAATTGCCATTTAAATCCATTCGTTATTGCATATGTATTTTAATATTTTTATATATAATGATTTTAATGTGTATTTTTGTTGTTTGATAATCACAAGATCATCGAATGACTAAATAGGTTTGCCTATTTGTTTAGTTTATAATTACCAAAAAAAATAGTATAAAAAATTAAAACACAATTATGATATATATATATATATATATTAAACAAGTATAAAGTTTATACCTGATCATGAAAATATAATTAAGTTGAAATTTTTATTATTATCAATGATAAATTATTTATCAATATCGCTTCTCATTTTATATAAAATAACTAATTAACTTCAATAAGACTCTTAGGATTTTAGCAGCTCCTCAGTGTCCAAGTGTATTTTAAAATAAGATTTGCTGATTTCAAATCAATTGTACTGGATATCTATTTACAAGGACGAAAGCTAAGTTATTGAGTAGAAAAAACGAGCTAAATAACAAGTCTAAAAAATCCAATAACAAATAAATAAAAAAACTCAAAAAAAAATATATCACATTTTTCGCTCATCAAGTACACTAACTTATATAACGTAGGATCCAAATCATTAATTATTTATAATTCATGAATATTTATTAATTATAATGAATATTCATGTTTATAAATATATCCATGAATATTCATGATTTACAAATTATTTATATGATTAAATTTATTATTACCATATAATTAATAAATTGACTTATGTATTGAAACATTTTATGAATAAAAAATTAATGATGAATTAATAACTTCGTAACAAATATATCTTTTCAATCAAAATTTAAGCTCAAACTCATAAGTCTATAAATTTATTATCCAGTAAACAAAATTATTTTAGATTTGAAACTTTTATTATTGAAATGCTATTTGAAAATAATTTTTCATTTATATTTGATAATTTTTAAAAATTATATTTATATTACATATCAAAGCACTCATGTTGAATTTATAAAATTCAATATTATTTTAATTTCAAATATAAGTGAGCCTTTTATATTCAAATAATAACTTGGTAACAAATATATTTTTTCAATCAAAATTTAAGCTCAAATTTATAAGCCTGTAAGTTTATTGTCCAGTGAATAAAATTATTTTAGATTTGAAACTTTTATTATCGAAATGCTATTTGAGAATAATTTTTCATTTATATTTGATAGTTTTTAAAAATTATATTTATATTACATATTAAAGCACTCATATTGAATTTATAAAATTCAATATTATTTTAATTTCAAATATAAGTGAGCCTTTTATATTAATTTTATATAAACATGGAGTTTTTTAATTTATTATTGTATTTTTAATTAATTGAGATTTATTCTTGTAAAATGACTAAAAATTCAATTTATCATCTTGTTGATTTTTTGTTTTAAACTAATATATGTATGATTTAATATTATATAAATAAATGATTGTAGTAAAGGTAGAGGGAGAAAACATGTAAAGTTGTTCAGAAATAAATAATTTATTTGTCTATAATTGATATGTTTATAAAGTGTAATACTTTATTTTATTATTATTAATATAGAAATTTAAATCAATATGTATGTACCTTAATTAATAATATGAATTATAAAATTAAATATAATATAAGTCTTATGTAATCTCGAGATTTATGAAACTCGAATTAATAATTTTAAAATAAATAAATTTAAAGCATGACCAATTGAGTTACATCCCTTCCCTTCGTATAATACATTTTCTTTTATACCGGAGGGAGAAAACATGTGAAGTTGTTCGAAAATAAATATTTTATTTGTCGTGTGCGTCGTATATAATTAATATGTTTATAAAGTGTGATACCTTTTTTTATTATTATTAATATAGAAATTTAAATTAATATGTATGTACTTTAATTAATCATATAAATTATAAAATTAAATATTATATAAGTCTTAAGTGATCTCGAGATTTATAAAACTCGAACTAATAATTTTTAAAAAAACAAATTTAAAGCATAACCACATCCCTTCGTATAATACATTTTCTTTTATACATTATAAACATTTTAATTTCACTGGGATGAAATTAATTCAATTAATAATATAAAATATATTAAAAATTCATTTTATTATCCTAATTATTTTCTAGTTTTAAAAATACTTTTAAAAAATTTGAAAGATTTTTTATTTTAAATTAATTATTTTTTATATTTTCATATCGTTTAATGTATTAAAGTTAAAAATAAAATTTAAAAAATAAAAAAAATATTATTTTAAAAAATAATCAAATATACCCTTAAGTATGACTATAACCGAACTATCTTGCCTTTTATATATATCTTTCTCTTTCATTTTTGTTGCTTCTGTACTTTTTTATTTTTCAAAAAATGATCACGCCCCGAGGAGGAAACGTAAGTGAATCTGTCAGAAAAATAATAACCGGACGATTAGTGTTCTTCGCAATACAGTCAGAGGATGGCGACATACCCAATCTCATTTATTAAGTATTTGGAATAATGGTGTAAAATATTATTATTATTATTTATTTAAAATTATATTAAAATATTTTTTTTATTTTTAATATTAACACTTAAAACTGTATTATTTCATTATTTTTTTATTTTTTAAAATTTCTATACTAATCACCCCATTTATCCATGACATGGATCAGGAGAACAGACCTCAGTCGCATTAATATCTGTGCGCGGTAATAAAAAGAAAAAAGAGAGATTAGAGCGATCTTGTTTTGGAAACTCCAAGAATGTCATGGAAACCGGGTGTGTTCCACAGTCTCGAGTAGCGCGTGAAATTAATGGAACTATTACATGAATTCTCTCTGCTTACGACAGAGGCAAGGATAAGGGCGTTATGTTTTTGGAGCTTGCTACCCCACTTTACTGTCTTGTCTCTTTCTACTGGTCTTCTGACCTTAGATCTGATGCGATCGCCACGTGGCAGTTGATTCAAAATTGACAAAAAATGCTGAAGTATTTAAAGAATTTTTAAACGAGGAGGGAACCTTTAGAGACTTGAAAGCGTGCAGTTTAACATTGAAATGAAAATTACTTTTAAAAATATTTTTTATTTAAAAATATATTCAAATAATATATATTTTTTAAAATTTATTTTCAATACTAACATATTAAAATAATTTAAAAATATAAAAATATAAAAATATAATTTAAAAAATCAATCATTTTAATGTGTTTTACATTGCAAAAACAAACACGGTCTAAACACTAAATAATTCAATACACTACAATATTTTTTAGAGTGCATATATAATGTATTTTTTATTTTTTTAAATATTTAAATTAATATTTTTTTATCATTTTAATGTTATGAAATCTAATATAAAAAAATATTATCATGGTATATTTTTTAAAAATATTTTAAAAAGTAATTTATATTATAATCCCAATCATTATCAATATCTTCATATTCATAACCTTTTACTTATTTATTTATATAAATATTAGTTCTTGAAATGAATTAAAAATCCTAGCTTTTCATTAAATATTTAAGAATTTGTTTATTTCTGTATTTTAAAAGTTTCTTTAAAAAAATTAAAAAAATTTATTTATTTTAAATTAATATATTTTTAGTGTTTTTAAATTATTTTAATATGTTGATGTCAAAAATAATTTATAAAAATAAAAAAATATTATTAACATGTATTTTAATATAAAAAATTATTTTAAAAACAATCATAACCATATTCTTAAATAAACTAATAATTTATCCTCTATAAGATTTTTAAAAAAGATACTTAGATGAATTCATAACCATTGTCAAAAATATAAAAAACTATGCATGTCAATTTTGGATAATAATTTGATTATAACGAAAGTAAAAAATGAAGAATCCAATATCAAGTAAATTAGGAAACATAGTGTTTATATTGAATTTTTAAAAAAGTAAAGGGCTTAGATGTACATAATGTTTCAAAATATAAAATTACGAGGGCCTGAGGATAAATTTGACAAAGCCTATATTCCGATTTGGGATAAATTATTAGGTATAAAAAGAATGTAATTGTGAAATAAATTAATAGATTCCATGTTTTTTTTCCTTGGCGAGAAAAAAGAGGACAACTCCAAATATTCAAAATAACTCCTCTTCAAATTAGGTCGTTGAAAGCCACTCGTTATTTAATTGCATGATTCCATCAAATCAAAGGGTGATTTTGAAATCTTCATTTGTTATTTTATAGCTGTTCTTGCAACGTGTAATTCGAGTTCGGCTCTAGCTTGTCTTTCAGGCAATTAAAGCCCAAAACAAACATAGCTCTGGCCCATAAGATTAGCCCACAGAATTTCAACACCAGCAAACGTTGACGTAGTGGAGAAGGAAAAGGAATACCAACTGGCTGTTTAGAGTGTGTTTACGACTGTATTTGAAAAGTATTTTTAAAAAAAATAATTTTTTTTTATTTTAAATTAATATATTTTTAAATTTTTAAATTTTTTTGATATATTGATGTTAAAAATAATTTTTTTAAAATAAAAAAATATTATTAATATATTTTTTTAAATAAAAAGATTTTTAAAAATAATTACAATCAAACTCCCAAATACATGTTCAAATATACTCCTAGTTTGTCATCTCAATTTATTACCGGCAGATAATAACAAAACATGTTTTTTAATATTTTTTATTTACAATTAAATTAATATATCTTTTAAATTTGTTATTAATATTAGTATATTAAAATAATTTTAAAATAAACAAATAATTTAAAATAACAAAATTTAATTTTTTTAAAAATACTTTTAAAGCATCAAAATAAAGTAAAAGCTAAACTCCTACAACTCCTTCACACGCACACATAATATAAGAATTCCTTGTCATTGTGTTTTCCGTTCCAGTGTCGGAATACAATTTCCACAGGAAAAAGGGAAAAGAGATACAGAAATGGCGTTGAGGCTGAGCTCAAGAGACGTATCTGGATTCAAATTCCTCTTCTTTCTAGCGACCATCTTCAGTCTCATATCGGTTCTTGTTTACTCCGCAATTCACATGAAATTCATCAAGCCTCTCGAGATCGACGCCCCTCTCGATCGCTTCTCCGAGGCCAGAGCCATCCAACATGTTGCAGTTCTAACCAAAGACGACCGTCAGGTCAGCCCCCCCCCCTCCCCCCCCCCCCCCCCCCCCACCCACTGTCTTTGCACATATATAATTATTTAATTATCTATTAATTGGCTTTGACTTCGAAAAACTAAAGGAAGGGCGTCCTGGATTAAGAAAAGCGGCAGTGTATATTAAAGAACAGTTAGAAATGCTAAAGGAGAGAGCTGAATCCAATATCAGGTTCGCCGGTATGGTTCGCTTTTTAGAGAGAATTTAACTATGAGTTTGGTTTATTCACCCTTGTCATTTTTTTAAACTTTTCAGAATTGAGGTTGAAGAGGCAGCTGTTAATGGTACATTTAATATGATAGTTCTAGGGCACAGCATGTCTTTCGCTTATAGAAACCATATAAATATTGTTGCCAGGTAATCTCTTTACTTCTTGCTGAAATTCTATTGCCTGTTTGAGTCTGTGTTTCATGTCCTGACGTTCAATTGTTGTTAGTTAGAACCATCCGAGGAATGAGACTTTTTTCCCCATTAAGTATGAGTGTAGTTACAGTTAGCTTTCATATGGGGACCGGTATTTTTCTGTGGGATTTTCTTACATCCTCTAAGGTAATTTATGTCTTCCATTTCAATGGAAGGGGCCATATACCTTTGTCAAGATATTGTGGTCCTGGAGTTATTACATATAAGTTATCCAGCACCGAATCTGGTAGGAATAATAACAATCAAAGCCAAGGCTGGTAGGTGAGCCTAGTGACAGGAGACTATCTAGCTTGTCATTTGCTGGGTTAAAGATTTTTTTGTTTCAAAATGTCATGGCCTAAATGCTGAACTATTGACCCTACTTGTTCGGATGGGTGTTCACACTCCAAAGTGTTCTCCGACTGCATGCATACATCTGTAAGTAACTTAGTGCAACATGGAAAATTTCACTTAGAGGAATCAGACATTTAAAACTTCGCTGTTCACTGCTGGAACTAAAGCCAGGAAGCTGAATCATGTGATGGGAAAATGTTTAATTTTTTTCTTCTTCTTACCTCAGAAAATAATAATAAAGGTATCACATTATGTTTTTTATGCAGGGTCTTCAGTGCCTAACTACTATGTTTTATTAGTTACAGAATTGATAGGTTAGGAAATGGGAAAATAGGCTTTAGGTGGGTAATGGGGTGTGTTTAGCTTAAGGTTGTGTTCTAGAAATGTAAATGAACAAGGAACTAGGCTCAAGTAGGCTAAAAGGGAAGAAAACAAACCTAGCATCACTCTCGGGCTCATAGAAATCACTCCTATGAATTCTTAGGCATCACACCGAAGATAAGATGCATCACACATCTAAACCTTAAAGGCTTAAATCGCTTGTACTTTACATGTGGTATTATAATTGGCTATAATGTGTATGCCTTGTGACATGAAAAAGGTTGTATTTTTATCTTACATTTTTGGAAAACACCATTGTGGACTAACTTTTACTCAATGACAGGATATCATCAGCAGATTCGCAAGAAACTGACCCGTCTGTTTTAATTAATGGCCATTTTGATAGTCCTCTTGGTTCACCAGGAGCTGGTGATTGTGGTTCATGTGTTGGTGAGTAAATTACATCTCTTAACCATTTGGGCTGCCTTAAATATCTCAAACGTACTTGTTGCTTATGAATTTTCATGCTTAGCCATTTCATTTTGCATGTTTGATTGTTTTGCAGCATCAATGCTGGAATTAGCTAGAGTTACTGCAGAATCGGGCTGGATTCCTCCTCGGCCCATTATTTTTCTTTTTAACGGCGCTGAAGAACTTTTTATGTTGGTATAGGATCTATTCGCAAGCAATATTACTATGTGATTAGCTTTTTAAAACACTTGTTGTGTCAAGGTTTCTATTGTGGACCAATCATATTTCTGAAGATATTGAATGCAGTTTTCTTTTTCCTACTTTGTTAGCCAACCTCGACAAATATCTAGTAAAAAAAAAACATTTAATAGACCATTATTTCACTAGGTATTTTCTATTTTACTTCTCTCATTTTCAAGCTTAACAGAGGTTGGTTGATTATGGTGTTTCAGGGCGCACATGGCTTCATGAAGACACATAGGTGGCGTGATTCAATTGGAGCTTCTATAAATGTGGAAGCATCTGGGACATCTGGTCCTGGTAGGATGTGATCCAATTTGAATGTTACTTTTCTTCAGCCTTTTTAGATTGCATATGGTACATTGACTCAATGATTTGGAGAAAAGGGAACAGGATTTAGAGAAGAAAATGTAAAGCAGCCTGTGAACTACATGACACACAACTTTTTTCTTCCTTCATGATTGATCCAGGAAGCATCTTAAAGTTAGTTCAATGTAAATTCACATAATATCATAATGATTTTACCATGTTCTAGACATCACTCACTTCCTAAGCTGCCAGATATGGAAATATAAGAAATGAATTGAAACTTTATCTGTTGTTAGTTGGTAACATATGTTTTCTACTTTTTCTAATGGTCCTGAGTTGTGTGTAATGGTCCTGCTACTCTATGCTAATGTGAATACTGTTGTATTAACAGATTTAGTCTGCCAATCTGGACCTGGGTCTTGGCCTTCTCAAGTATATGCAGAGTCTGCAGTATATCCCATGGCACATAGTGCTGTTCAGGTTTTCTTTTCTTTTCTTGGTTTTGAAAATTAACTTCAAAACATTCTGATGATTGTTTTATTATATGATTACTTGTAAAGGAAACAGGCAAACAAATAACATTCATATAATTTTGTTTCACATCATTTGGGCCAGTATAAAACCCTCCTAACATATTAATGTGGCTTATCCCAATAGCTATCTGCTGGGCTTGTCTGCTGTTTGCATTTAATTGTTTCAATTCTAGTGATGTGTTTCTCTGTGTAGGATGTCTTTCATGCTATTCCTGGAGATACAGATTATAGAATATTTTCCCATGATCACGGAAACATTCCAAGCCTGGATATTATCTTTCTTCTTGGTGGTTATTACTACCATACATCCTATGATACATTGGACAAATTACCGTATGCTTTACTTCTGCCATTTCGTCATATAAATATTTCATTGGAATTCTTTTGTCACTTTATTCTTAAACGCATCCTCTTATGCCTCTGCATGTACTCACACCAGGCCTGGGATCATGCAAGCACGTGGAGACAATTTGTTCAGCATCCTGAAAGCCTTCACAAATTCTTCTAAGCTACAAAGTGCTCGAGAAAGAGAATATCTTGAAGCTTCAATCAATGACTACAAGGATGAGAGGGCTGTTTTCTTTGATTTCTTATCATGGTTCATTGTATGCTGCAAAATTTATGATATCTGCTCTATCCAATTTCATTATTTGTACTTAAATTTTAACTTCTTTATGACTCACTGTGTGATCTTATTATGACCTTGATTAATTCATAACATTGTCCTTATATCTTTAATGCTTTTTTTTTTCCAGATATTCTATTCAAGAAGGGTAGCTCTGGTACTTCATAGTATTCCCACTGTCATTTTTCTTGTCATGCCATTCCTTTTGCACTTTTGGGATTCTAGGTCACGTTCTTGTTTCGCAACCTTCTATGATTTTGTGAAAGGTTAGCTCTCTACTGCTGATTTCTATATGAATTTTTTTCATCTGAATCTCCATGCTCTGATACCCCATACACACAACACAAGACGTGCATATTGAAGATTTTGTGAATAATACTCAGAATTTGTTTACTTTCAAGGAATGCTTTTCCATGCTGCTGGAATTATATTGGCTATTATTTTCCCAGTTATCTTTGCCACTGTGAGACTGTTCTTCACTAGTTATGCGATGAGCTGGTGAGTTTGTTCTCTGTTTCTTTTCTTTTATTCTCCCTGAAATTTCAAATGGGATAAACTTCACCAGTTGTGAGCGTGGGGTCTCCATAACTGCTGGTCATGGTCTTTTTTCAGTAGTTTCATTGTATTCAACAGAAATATGAACTTCTATAGGATGATGATGTTATAATGAGGAACTTCCATGGGACACCATGAATGTCTTCTGTTACTCAGAAGTAGCTAGAGGATGACATTATAACTGTTGGTCGTGGTTCTCTTTGACATGCAAGATTCTAATGCAGGTTTGCACGTCCATACCTGGCATTCCTGATGTTTGTCCCAAGCTCAATTGTTGGTTTGCTGATTCCAAGAACTGTTTGGGGTTGTCCCCCCCCCTCTCAAGATGTTTCAGTCATCAATAAATCAGAGGTACAATTAGATATCATATAATTTTCAATTGATTACTTATGCATGCCAAGTTTGTTACATTAACACACATGACTAGAAGTGCTTGCAAATCAGGATTTTTTCTAGCTTTACATTCGAGGTTGCATATTCATTTGGAATATATCTTTGGTTGCTAATAAGAGTGAGTATGCCATTTAATATGGTATTCAAGTTGTGCAGCAACATTTACTGACTTCACCAATGCGAAGAAATTTCAAAATAATTGATCTGAATGCAAGTCTGCATCAAAATATGAGAAAACAAGATGAAACCAATTTATTTGGAATTGAAAACCAATACAGAAACATGATCAGAAGATAACTTGTTTTCATAAATGGGGAAAGAGTCCTCTGATTGCTAAGGATGAACAAACATTTGATATGCGTGGCATTTAGTAGAGATCAGTGGCCAATTTATGGTCACTTTCTTTACTTTGACTACTGTATTGTTGAGCTTCTCATTTAATAGAGCCTCATTGAAAAGTAAAGCATTAATTGTAATCTTAGGTCTAATTAAGATATTTGATAATTGTAAAAAGTTCTCCAAAATTGTTACTTTGACTACTGTATTGTTGAGCTTCTCATTTAATAGAGCCTCATTGAAAAGTAAAGCATTAATTGTAATCTTAGGTCTAATTAGGATATTTGATAATTATAAAAAGTTCTCCAAAATTGAATTGCTGAAAACTATTTTCTTGAATGAAAACTGTTTTCTTGAATTGCATCAGCTACTTTATATGAATGACGGACATGTTTTACTTCTTTCTTGTAAAAGTTTGTTTCTTTCCTTATGATGTTAACTATGGGTCATTGCTTGGCACAATGGTAAAAATAAACTTGTGGCTTGCAACCAACAAGGTTGCGATTTGAGCCCTGAGAACAACATGCAACTTCATGTTAAAAGGTAGAATGGCAAGATTGCTTCCAAATTCTCTTTCCAAGACTCCCCTTTAATGGGTCAAATTGCAATCTTCATAAGATAAACTTTCCATAAAATATGCAATCCCACCACATTTGTTAGTGATTTGATTCATTGGACTCTTTGATTTGCGTTGTATGGCTAATCATATATTCCCCCCTTATTTTAAATTGCTTGGTAGAATTATGCCTTACTTGGAGTTTGCTGGAGTTGTGTATGTGTCTGGATGGGTGTTAAATCTAATGCAGGAGCACCATCCATCACTGAAGGTAGCAGATATCTGAAATGGAGTGTATTTTGTAGGCTCTATCTGAAGAAGCAAGGTTTTGGGGAGCATTTGGATTTTATGCTTGCATAACTTCGGTATTCAGTTTACTATTTAGAAGAAATCTTTGTGGCTTCTAGATTTTGATAGTTTCTAAAATTTGCTAACTATAGTAAAGGCAGGCCTATCTGGTAGCTGGGCTCGGTGGAGGGTTTCTCACCTTTGTTGTTTTGGCATCTATGCTTCCTGCATGGATCTTCTTTTCCCTATCTGTCAAGTCCTATGATCATCATCAATCACCCAGGTACTGATTTTGATGGATCACAATCAAATTCCTTCTTGTTAATGTTGGCTTGAATTTTTCTTCCCATCTGCTTATCATGTAGAAGTTGCATGTATCTCATTGCTGGTTTCTGATGTTGTATTTGGAGACTCCTTAAATTTGTTAAGATGTTAATATCTCTTACAGCTACTTTGAAATATTATCTTTTCTCTAAATGTTGAAGCATGCCTAAAAATATCAGCTCTTGGGTGATTCATGTCTATTTATGTATCCCATGTATGCGAGGCGTTTACCTTTGACGAGTTTTTAATAAATTTTAGTATACTGCAATGGTTGTAGCCTCAAAATATAAGCTCTGGCTGATTTTTCACCATTCAAGTATGCTGGACTTCCATTTTAGTAACCCTTTAGCATTGTTTTGGAGCCTCCTTGGAAGATAGGCGTGTTGTCATCTTCAAATGTCTTTCAGTTTTCTTTACAACACACATCATGTTGAACCCTAACACAACAGTTGCCATCAAGCTGTCCTTCCTTACAATGTTAACTTTGTGAGAAGAGGCTTCAATTAATTGAAAGACAATATCAAATATTCTATTGCTGAATTATTTTCAAGAACCGGTCCTTGTGATCCACTTAATTGACTGTTGATTCTGTTGAAATGCATCATGTTGTTGTCTGCTGCTCATGTTTTGGGCTGTTGTTTCATTGGATCCAAAGTGCAGCTTGTTGATGGCATGTCTTAGAACTTTGGAACATTTTGAGAGTTCACACCTTGTTTCTCTGTTGTTTTTTTTTTTCTTTGGTGGGTCGGATCTTGTGGCACTTATTTCCTTTATTATTTTTAATTGTTTTCTTTCATTTTTTCTTTTTATTTACAAGAAGACTTGAAACTGTCTTGCAGGAGATTAATGGTGATAGCATGCCAAATGGAACCATAGATTGTTGTCTCTTTGCTCTTTTTCCTCACATTAAAGTCCTTTTTTTTTTTTCTCTGTATTTTAGTGACTTTCTAATCGGAAAAAAGGTGGTAAATGGCAGTGAAATAAACAGAAATGGTCTGACTTATGCTCTTTCTTTCAGGCCAGCAGTTTTTTATGTAATACCTCTAATTCCATGTCTCACTTACTCAGCATATTTTAGTGGATTTGTAATCCAATTTTTGATCGAGAAGATGGGTATGATAGGTTTTCTCCCACCTCCCTATGGTTGGTATTCCTGACTATTTACTCTGATGTCATTTATATCTGCCTTTTCAATTGGATTATTTCTGGTTTTTCTTCTGAACTTGAGACAGTGGCAAAACTGTTGAATCAATATTTGTTCATTTCTCACATTTTAACTGTAAAATTGAATTTTGTATAAATAATACTGTCAGTAAGTGCAAATTGCATACTACATGAGGTTTATCAATACTCTTTTCACCTTTTGTTGAATTCATGGACTCAGAGATCCTGGTATTTTTTTTTCGCTGTGCTGATTGTCGAGAACTTTTGGATAGGTGTAAAAAAGGAAGAATTGGCCTGTTAGTAATTTCAAACTGATTGTTAAATGAATTATCCTTTCTATATATTTTTTCTATCTTAGGTTCAAATATTAAGAATTCTTGATATAGCATTTCATTTTGTTGAATAGACTTTATTATTGACTGCTTTCATTGCATATCATATGTTTGTACTTGCAACTTCCCCATGGCTAAAAGAGGATGATGAACCTATCTCTTTAAAATTTCTTTTTTGTATTCTTGTCCCGATGACTTTCAAGTATGCCACACCTCAGGGTGGTTTTATTTCCAGTAGTCAATAATTTACTGAAGAATCATTATGGTTGTTTTGTACGATTATAGTTAAGCATCAATTATATGCTCCGAAGTGAAGAGTGGATTATGATTATTAGATCCGTATTTGCAGGGTATTATGTTGCTGATGTTTTCGTGGCAGCAACAATTGGCGTTGCAACTGGTTTGTGTGTGGGCCCAATAATACCTGTGTGTAGTCACTGGTTAGCTCGGTCTTCAATCTTGCAGCTCTTGTTGCATGTTAGTGTGCTTGCTCTGGCTTTGTCATCTCAGTTCTTTCCATACAGCAATCTTGCACCAAAGAGGGTTGTTTTTCAGCATACACTTGTTACTACAGGTATGAAGATGAGAACACTTGATCTTTAAAGCCGTTTAAAACTTTAGCGAGTTAGAACTGCTGGACAGCAATTGATGTGTGAATAGGAACAGAGTTCAATTATTAGCTCTGTTATTGGCTTCTTGATTTGTTCTGATTTCTAAAGCCCTGTTTCTCATCCACCTTGCCTGAAAACATCTTTTTCTTGTGTTGATTGACAGATGCGAATAGGATTGTGAACTCCAGCTATGGATTTTCTGTTTTAGATTCCAATTCTTTAACATTTCTTTTCAAATATGCTCCTGAAGTGGCAAAGGGACTGCATATGGGCCAAGAGTTATCTTTGGAAACTGCTGATATGTCTCCCCGAGAGACCTGGTTGGTAAGAAAATTTTGCCCTTGATGTCTGCTGCTAATGCTATGTCACATTTATATTTTGAGGTCGCTCTTTTGCCTCGTCAAGATACAACAAAAATTATAGAACTTGCAACGGCATCCACAGCAGATGGGTGGTTTAAATCTGGAAGCATGTGATAATTTCCTTTTAATTTGTTTATCTTTCCTCTCTCCCCAACCTGGGGCATTTTTCATAACAGCCTTGTTGAAACATACAGGGGGCGGTATCCTATTCTGAACTCATAAGTTATGTCAGGTTTTCTCAAATTCCATTGGAGCAGTAGATTTAATTTCTGTGCCCAGCAAGAGCAAATTACTTCGTTTTGAATTACATGTTCTATAATGATTGTAAATCCTTCAAATCCATAGATAAACCTTTATTTTGTGTAACTTTCTTTCTTTCTTCAATTTCTTTGGCAGGGAATTTTTCCGGTGTCTCTTTTGTTTTCGCAAAGCTTAAAGTTCCCTGCAAGGAGTGATGGTGTTTTTAAACAATATAGATATTTCCCCTACTTATCTACTTACAAGCCACATACCATCTCTAACGATAGATCTCGGAGAGTTTACTTGGAATTTTCCTTGGGGTAAGTAGAATGAACTAATGATCATGGAAGTGCATGAAAAGTTGTTTTGTGCTCCAAAAATCTAGTTCTTTGAGTTTGTGCATCCTCAGTTTGGAGGGATAGGATGTGGGTATGCTCATAGTTCAACTGTATGCTCAGCAAGTAACTGTTGGGCATTTTTGACAGTAGCGCAGTGTGCTTGCTTGGGGGAGGAATTCAAACCTGGATTATTCCAGGTGAGGGAGGGTATGCTGTCTAGCTCAGCTACACCCTCTCATTTGAAACCATGGGACCATGTTGAAAGATCTCGATGCTGCTTTAACAAAATTACTGCTCTTTCAAATGAACAAACTGTCTATATGTTTCTTGCCTGATTTGAATATACATGTATCGGGTAAATATGTGTTTTTGCACTGTATGTTTAATGGATAATTGGTAGATGCTCAATAAATCCCAGACATGGGGCAAAAAACTTGGAGTGACTACAACAGGGATGCTATTTGACTGCATAGGAGTGAAACAACTAAAAAAAGTTCAGTTTAAAATTCAATTCTAACCTTGTGTTCTCATGAATACTTTGTGTGTATGTTACATCCTAGAGCATAGATTTCTTTTCTAACCTTGTGTTCTCATGAATACTTGTGTGCGTATGTTATATCCTAGAGCATAGATTTCTTTTTTAACAATTTTTATTCAGATGCGTGGGTTTTTATCTTCATACGTTGTGTCTTTTTAGTGATTTGGAGGAGGTTTGGGTTGCAGTCCTTAACATCACCGGTCCTTTATCAAGCTGGTCATTTGCAGACAACAAGCTTCCAGGTATGAAATTTTAAGATTCCACTTTTACTTATGAGCATTTTGCTTTGTTGTACAAGCAATCACCCTGGAAATCGCACAGATCCTGAAACAGTGGAAGGTGGTCCGCCATCCTACATATTGAGACTTAGTGGATCCAGCCAAGCAAACTGGACTTTCTGGTTAGAGGTAAAGTTCTGTCTTTGATTTGGTTAGGCTACAAAGATGATCTTTTTACACAGTTCAATTCTGTTTTCTGTTCTCTTTGGAAATAACAGGCCAGCAGTTCTGATGATTTAAGGGTGGAAGTTGCTGTGGTAGACCAAGTTTTAGATGATGAAGCACAGAGGTTGAAAGGCCTTTTCCCAGACTGGGCTGATGTCACTGCTTATTCTAGCTTTATGTCCAGCTACATTTTCTAATCCTCTGGATTTTTGAACTTCCAGTGTATAAAGTTTGCCCGAAAATTATATAGACCCAAATGATAACCATAGCAAATATCGTTCAAAATTAAAATTGCGGAAAATTACAAAGCGGCATGGCCAATGATCCTGAAGCTGTTGTGCTCCAAGACATAGCCTAAAACATCATTTTTCAGCTATCATCAGTTGTTCTTCAATACATTATAGCCTGAAACACCATTTTTCAGCTGTCATTAGTTCGACGAACGATCAACCAAGAACTACAAACACCAATATTAATCGAATCATCTTCAACTGGTTTCAGGTTCTAGCAAACTGAGCCTCTTCAACTCGCAACTTTTGAAAATTGGGATATCAATAGTTGTTTGAGTTGGCTATTTTAATAACAATTAAAAAACAAAGCAAGTAATGGATAGGATTAATGTCAGCCATGTCCGTTGTATGAGTGTACTTGACTGCAAGCTGGTTGATCAATAAATCTCGTTGGCTTATAAAAAATATTAGTAATATATATATATTCTTACCAGGAGATGCTCCTTAATTACAAGAAACTAAAGAGGCTTCAAATTCGAATTAAGTATATTTCTTTAATTTTTTTTGAATTCGAATTTTGGAATCAATAATTAAATATTTTATTAAATATTCTTCAATGTACTATATTGATATAGGGATGTAGCTTTAAAATCGTTCAGAAGAGAATTTAGATGTAACCTTTGACATCAAATAAAAAAGTATGAATGAAAGCATGAATTATCTTATGTAAAAAGAAAAAAAAAACACTTCTTAATTAGTAGGCTATTATATCTTTTATGTACCCTAAAAGCCTATTTGGCCTGATATTATTTTTTCTGAAAATATTTTTTTATTTTTAATGGTAATATATTAAAATTATTTAAAAAATACTAAAAAAATATGTCTTTCAAATGAAATCTACTCAACACCTAAAAAAGAAAAAGAGGTGGGCTTCAGAAGACAAGCTGAATAAAAAAAAAACCCAAGCCCAAAAGGAGCAGCGTTGAAGTCAGTCTGCAGCAGGAATTAGGGTTTCTTTCACTTAGAAACCCTATATAAACCGCACTCAGCAGCTTCTCCGCCTCTCCTCTGCTAGAGCCACCAATTCAACGTCTCTCCAGCTTCGACAAGGCAGAAGGTGCAGCCACCATGGTACGCCACCGCTTCTCTTTTCCTTTCTTTCTTACATTGAATCTCCACATCACTAAATGACATTATGTCCCTTGTTTTTCTTTTCCCAGGTGAAGTACTCTAGAGAGCCTGATAACCCCACCAAATGTAAGTCAACTAATATTCTTCCATTTGGGTTTCCCGAGCGTGCTTATCACTGAAGGAGATCTTAACTTGTTGTTATCATGTCTGATTTTTTTGCAGCTTGCAAGGCAAGGGGCTCTGACCTCAGAGTTCACTTCAAGGTATTATGTGTAGAGTTTTGATTGGTTTTGTTTTGTATGGCCGTTGTTATCCGAGGAACAAAAAAAGTTGATTTATTAGTAAAAACCTGATGAAAAATTGCCCATGTGAACCGGCCTCTCGTAAACTTCAGGCAAATCAATTTCGTTGTTATTGGGTGAACCTCTGTTTTTTTTCTCTGTGGCTGAAGGTTCAGTAAACGATGACACATTTTTCTTACTAAAAATTTGTTTAAATGAATAGTTTTTGTATAGGTTTAATTAATTAATATACACCTTTTGGCTTATGCTGGTGTTAAATGATTTTTTACCTGAATTTTGCTTTTGTTGAAGAGTTATTTGATGTAGAAGCTGGTGAATTACATGTTTTTTCCCCCGATCCTTCAGGAAATGACATAACAAAATTATATAATATTGTGGCTATATCTATTTTTTTGGACAATTAAGTCTTAAATTTAAAAATTATGAAGCTTTGGTTAGGTTATCCGATCTTTCATGTATGGTTAGTTGTATCATCTGTTGTTGACAATTTGAATTAAGGATAAAGGAAATCTCTTTCCTGGTAAATAAGATCATGTGGAAGATGAGAAATGAGTTTTTGAATATTTCATCAACAAGAAATGGAGACACTGGATGTTTTTCTTCATTATGTCTATTGATTGACATGTTTTGATTGTAATCGAAAAAAAAACCCTCCATTTTTTCTGTTCTGATTCTTATCCTGATGAAAAAAGCAGGGTCTTGTTGCCTTTTTGTGAACAGGGCTCTTGTAAACTTCAGGAACATTAATTGCATTGTTATTGGGTGAACCTCTGTTGTTATTGGTGGCTTAAGGTTCAGTAAATGATGTAACATTGGTTTTCATATTGATGTTTCTCCATGCATATTTGAAGTGTTGGTTCCCTTTTATAGCTGTATTGATTTCTATCCATTGATGATCGGACCATTGTTTCTGATTAGCTTAGCCCTCTCAATTGCTTTAAGTACTGCATTTTAAAAAACCGGTTAGTCATAACATGCATTGGATGATCTTGATTGTAATTATGTTTCCTCCATTGATAGATTTTCTAAGCTTGTTTTGACATTTGCATCCATTTTAATGTCATGCAGAATACAAGAGAGACAGCGTTTGCTCTAAGGAAGTTGCCTCTGGTCAAGGCCAAGAGGTATTTGGAAGATGTTATGGCTCACAAACAGGCCATTCCATTCCGACGTTTCTGTGGTGGAGTTGGGCGCACTGCACAAGCAAAGAACAGGCACTCTAACGGACAAGGACGATGGCCCGCCAAGTCTGCCAAGTTCATCCTGGATTTGCTCAAGAATGCCGAGAGCAATGCTGAGGCATATCTATCCTCTTATTTGTCTTCACTGTCTCATCATCTTCTGCTTTCCATTTTACTGACATTGCTTACTTTTCCAGGTCAAGGGTTTGGATGTGGATGCACTCTACATTTCTCACATCCAGGTGAATCAGGCACAGAAGCAGAGACGTCGTACTTATCGGGCGCATGGAAGAATTAATCGTAAGCTTGTTTTGATTAGATTGGTATTAGTTAATCTTACAATTACATTTCCATCTGTATTCACAGGAATCTTTTTTTTCCTTTCCAGCTTACATGTCCAGCCCTTGCCACATTGAGTTGACTTTATCTGAAAAGGAAGAGCCAGTTAAGAAAGAGGTAAATTCATTTCTTTCTGATTGTTAGATGGTTTAATTAATATGCTAGTGTTTTTTGGACCTTTCTAATTGTGTACTTGTATTGCAGCCTGAGACCCAGCTAGCAACCAGCAAGTCAAAGAAGTCTCAATCTTCCTCCTGAGTGGCGATCTTAGTTCAGTGTGGATCCCCTTTTGATTTCTGTGTTTTTTCCTTAAGGATTTTGTTGCGTATCTTATAGAATGATCAGATTTTTAGATGTATTGGACATCTCGTATGTTGATTTCGAATTATGTTTAGTTCTTTGTTCTATGAGAAATGTCTTGGCGAGTTTATTTGAAGTCTATTTTCGTCACTGTTTTTATCATAAATTGATAAATAGTCCTTGATAATGGTAATGAGCGGCCGTGTGTGAACCACCCTGTAGTTTTCCATCCCTGATGTGCCCTTAGGAGTGAGAAACCAGTTTCGATTTGAAAGTTATCCAGATTGTCAGACTTATGTCCCCTTGTTGTGGTAGTTGTATTCACCAAAGTGTCCTTGTTGACCTGGTTTCCAGGGTCTCAGAATCGTTAAATATTTATGTTTGATCTCCCTCGCCTTGTTCCTTGCTGCCTTTTCCAGCTCGGTGCTTGGGGGGATTTGGAAATGTAACGAGCCGAATGAACTTGGTCTGCGACTCGAAACGAGTCGAAGTTTTTTATACCACTGAAACTGTTTTCGCAGAAAGAATAGAGTGAGCTAGATTATTTGTAGGCCTGTGTTAAGCTGAATGCCGGGGGGGAAAAGTCGGTGATGCAATCGCATAAACCTTGTTGAGCTAAAAAAATATTGATAAAACTAAAAAAAACAATGAAACTAAAATTCAAACAAATTAAATATGAAAAAATATTTTTTTAAAAAAAAAAAACCTGATTTGAGCTGACTTAAATGAGAATGCTAAAGTATGATAACTTGAGATAGCATACCAAAATATGTAATAGTTGGAGTTCAATTCCAAACATCCAAAAAAAAAAAGACAAAAAAAATCTAAACAAACCAAGCAAGTTAACTAAACTTTACAATTCAAAGAATAAAAAAAAAATATTATAAAAACTTAATCTTAAAACAACATAATGTTGAATGACAAAACATAAAAAATATTAAATTAAAAAAAAATCAAGCCAACCCACTAAATTTACAATCTAAGTGATAAGACCGAGATAAACAAATAGAAAGTAAATAAAAAAAATATGATGACTAGTATAAAAAAAAACATTAACTTTGAAAGATGGAACTAAAAAATAAAATTAATTCTCAACATATATAATGTTGAAGGATAAAATCAGAAAAAAAAAATCAATTAAAAAATTTATCAAAATAAATTTAATAAATAAAAAGATATAAGATAACCTGGGTCAGTTTGGAAATTCACTAAAAAATCCTATAGAAAGAAGAAGAAAAAAAGAACAGGGCGTAATAACTAATAATGTAAACATTGAAGGATAAAACTAAAAAAAAAATATGAGTTAAAAAAATAGGCAAACATTCTAAACTTGGATTAATGTCTCAAATTTACAATCCATAAAATCTTAGACTCAACTGAATTAAAAAGCTCAATTTGTGACCAATTTAATATTAAATGATAAAATTATAATTAAAAAAAAACTAACTAAATAAAATTTAACAAAGAATGATACATACAAATATTTGATATAACCTAGGTCGTTTTAAAAATTAATGAAAAGTTATACAAAAAGCAAATAATAAATATAACAAAACTCAATATGCAGTTGAATAAATGATAAAATTGAAAAATACATGAGATTAATGAAAAAAAAAACTAAGCAAACTCAAATGATTCTCCTAAACTTAAGCTAGTTTCTAGAACTTGAAACCAATAAATTCAAACTCGGGCTCAATTAAGAAGCCGAATTCCCAACTAATTTGATGTTGAAAGATAAAAATAAAAAAAATATCAATTTAAAAAGTTTGTCAAAGCAAAAAAATAACAATCAAAATAATGAGGATCAATTTTGATAGGGAAAAAACATGAGGATGATGAAATTGTAAAAAAAAAAAACAAATAAAAAAAGTATATCAAATAAAAAAACAACAATTAAAAGATTGAGGATTAATTTAAATTTTTTTAAAAATGAATGAGGATAAAATTAAAAAAGACATTCTAATTATATAGATTATTCCAAATAAAAGAAACAATATTCAAAAGAATATGAATTTAGTATTGAAAAAAAATACATATTAAAGGGATTGTTTTTAAGTTTTTAAAAGGCAAGGAGAAAATCGAGTGATGGGGAAATGAAGGAAAATAGAAAAAAAAAAGTTTGTCAGTGTAAAAAAAAAGAACTGTTATATGCCGTTTCATCACAAAAAAGATCTCAAGATGATTTAAATATTTTCATTAAAGGTGATGTTTGGTGTTCAGACGAGACCCCTGACACGCTTTTTAAATGACAGGAGGGTCGCTGGTTGTTACATGTGTTAGTAAGTTTATTTTTAAATAAAATTTAATAAATACTTAGATACTAAAATTTTCCAAAGTCACCTTGATATTAATAAAAATAAAATATAGTAAAAAGACAAAAATAACCTAGAAAAGAGTTTAGTGGATTTTGCCGGTAAGTATAATAAAGTCATCTTATTGGTTTAAAAAAATAAAGAAACCAAAAGTGCCCCCCCACATGTTAAGTAATCTTTTTTACATGAGGGGTAACTAAGTAATTTCACAATATAAAAAAATAAAAATACTAGTCTATCTTTGTATAATTTGAAAATGACAATTATATTATAATAAAAAGATCATCACAGTGAAAAGATCATGTTTTTTTTAATACTTAGTTTAAAAAAAATTTAATTCTAAATATAATTTTATAATTATACTATTACAATAAATATTATTCTTCAACTTGTTGTGCAATGAAAAAAGGCCAAGGAGTCTTATGTTTTTGTGAATAATATTGCCAAAGTGGATTTTTTATTTTTCAATGGGAACTACAATGTTGTTTTATTAAAAATGCATCAATCTATGCTCTTATGTATCTTAGATTCAACCATCCAACATATTAAAAATCCTAGAAATTGAATTCATTTGTATCTTAAAGGATAAATTGAAAAATTAATAGACATAACTAAAAAAAATTAGATAATTGATATAACAACAAAAAGTTTTAATGAAATAAAATAGTTTGACAAAATCACATTTTAGAAGTTTGCCATTTACTGTATGTCACTATTCTTAAGCATAAGATGGTTAAACTATGTTATTTCTAACTTAACTGATTGACCGATTTGTAATAATTAGTGGAACTAGTCGACTAATTCTAAAAATAATAAGAAACATCTCAAAATTGTCAAAATTACGAGATCTTAGAGAGATTTTTGATATCTAAAAATTTGATAATCCACATAGAAACACAATGATTATTATAAAGAAAACAACCTTTGAAAACTTATATAAAAATTTGAGTTCGATCTAATAATTGGATAAAAAATTATGGTGTTTTTGAATTGTTTTTTTGATCTCGTGCAACCAAACCTCCTTTTAGACTAAGACCTATCACACTGATTTATAAATGCATCTACGAGGCTATCCATATAATCTATTTAAGACATATTCTCATTTAGTCATGAATATTGTGAATCCTATTTCCCCTATACTCTTAAGTATATAAAAATCCTCTAGAAATTTAACATATTTCCTTCATCACTAAATACATGTCAATAATATCTTTCATCAATATTAATACACACATAAAAAAAATATTTTTTCTTTTTAATACTATCAGGATAACATTAAACTTTAGTCCCTTCTCTATAAAGACTTATGAATTATTAATATATCATGAATTCTTTAACTTGAAAGGTTTAGAATTATCATTTTCTATTATATATTTATTTTTAGAGTATCTTTCTATAATATTATTGAATTTTTTCTCAAAAAGTTATGAACTTAATTATTAAAGACTTTCTAAATTCATCAAAAAAGATATTTTATAGGTATCAGATATCCATTTCTAGCCACATTGACTAGAAAGAATATAATAGATTATTGAAATTAAAAAATTAACTAATTATTTAAGACATAAATCTTTCTCTTTCTACATTACTAGAAATTTCTTGAACATCATCAATTTAATTTACCAGCAATTTAGTTTGTGTTGATCCTTTAGATATAGAAGGGATCCCTCACCTTATTTTAGTTATAGAGATATAATTTTATTTTTTAATATAAAATTTGAATTTATATCTTATAATGTGTAAAAGATTCTTATGATTTTATGTAAAAATTGAAGGTCTATTTTATTAATCTTATTAGTAATTGACGTGTAAAAGAATGTAATTGAGGATGCAGTTTTTTGAATTTAGATTTTATTTTTATAAAATTAATAAAAAAAATAAATTGAATTGGCATCGCAAGAGTACAAACAACACAAGTAAAAGAAATCCTTTACTTGACTTGATTCAATTAGGTAGAATCCAAAGTGAATTATAAATTTAAATATGTGAAATTAAAACAAGTAAAATAAATTAGAAATATAAAGTTATATTATGTACTTTTTAGGATAATTTTAAAATCTGGTTTGGCAAGTTGAACTGAGACTTGGTTGATTTCAAGGTTAGAATCGAGCCGAGTTTATAAAAATACAAGAATAGTTAAAAACTTGATCGATCCAATGGATTGACCCAATAATTTGATTAAAAATCCGATCACAACTCGTTAATTATTTTTTTTATTAAAACAATATTATTTTAATTTATATATTAAAAAGATTAACTTTAATGACCTGATTAAAATCAAATATTAAAAAAATTAACTTTAATGACCTGATTAAAATCAAATGACATGATCAAAAACTGTAATTCTAGCTTTACACCAAGTTTAAAAACACTACTTTTGAGAGAAAAAAGTAATAATTTATAAGAGAAAATCCAATGCCAAACAAAGGAATATTGAATTTAAAATTATCTATTCTTTTCATTAAAAATATTTTATCTTTAGCCTTTTCTTTTTTATGTAAGTAGTTTTTATTTTTTAAATTATTTTTTATTAAAAAAATATTATTTTAATATATATTCAATTAAAAAAATACATTTAAAAAACATATACTTTCCATAATTTTTGAAAGTGCCCATACAGATGGTGCTTTTTCATTGAAAGACTCGATTGGGGATAATGCATTTCTGCACTAAAATCGAATTAGGTCAATTTTGAAATTGTTTTTGAATTTTGAATTTATTGATTTAAAAGACGGAAAGGTTCAACCCATTTATTTAATTTTGTGCATTTTTTTATCAGGAATATATTGATTTCATTGAACAGATAATAGCGAGAGAAAAAACATTT